ACTGAATTATTATCATTTAAGCTATGACTAGTTTAATTAAAGTTAAGATATTTTTTATGGGCCACAGCAAAAAAAAAGAAGAGAAATTGAGGATAAAATTTTCACCTATTAATTCTTGGGCAGAGGTTTCTTCCTCCGAAAACAAAAATAAATGTTCGATAAAAAAAGAGATATTTTTAAAGGGGCAATTACAAAAATGCCATTTTTTGTGTGCACATTTGCAAGAATGTCACTTAGAGGTGTCCATTTACAAAAATGCCACTAATGAGAAATTTCAAAAACTGACACTTTTTAAGTACCACTTTACAAAAATGCTACACTTTTGAAATCTTTACAAAAATGCCACTTTTTCAAAATTATTTTTTCTTTATATTATTTATGTTTGGGTTAATTATGTTCTATTAGGGTTTAGTTTTGAGTGTTTAGAGGGTTTTAGGTGTCAAAACATTTTTTAGGGTTTTGAATTTTAAGATATAGGTTTTATAAATCTATAATTAGTGGCATTTTTGTAAATAGACATCCTTAAGTGGCATTATTGCAAATGTGCACACAAAAAGTGGCATTTTTGTAATTGCCACTAATTATAGATTTATAAAACCTATATCTTAGAATTCTAAACCCTAAAAAATATTTTGACACCTAAAACCCCCTAAACACTCAAAATTAAACCCTAATAGAACATAATTAACCCAAACATAAATAATATAAAAAAAATAATTTTGAAAAAGTGGCATTTTTGTAAAGATTTCAAAAGTGTGGCATTTTTGTAAAGTGACACTTGAAAAGTGGCATTTTTTGAAATTTCTCATTTTTAAAAGTGGATACATAAAAAGTCAGAATAATTATTTTTTACTGGTATAAAGCTGGAAGAAAGAAAAATTCTTCTTCTAAAAGAATTATCGAGTCAAGTCCTAAAAATAATTGAAAAAAACATTTTTTCTACTTTTATCTGCTTAAAGAGAAAAGAGAGGGATATCTTTCCTTTGTCTTAAGAAAAAAGAATTCTTCTCATTTTTACTTTTGTTCTTCTATTTTTAATCACACCCTTAATAACGTTTAGAAGAAATTTGAAAAAATATTTTTTTGACTTTTTAAATTTGAAAAATACCTTTCTTTTATTTTCTTTTAAAAACACACTTTATTAAATATGAAATTACAAAAATATTCTAAAAAATCTGCACAACAAATAATAAATTACATATTTAAAATTGAATTAATTGTTGTGAGAAATTAATATATAGCCTATATTTTAGGGCAATCATATCTTTTTCAAAAAAAAATTCTACATTTTACTCTATTGTACACGTAAATCATGCAAGTATCACATCAATCCCAAAAACAATATAGTTATGCTGAAATAAATTAGCCATATTTCAGACGATACTATAACATCTATTTTTGTTTTTTTATTTATTAGAAACAAAAAAAACTACACTTATTTTTAAGATAACTTAACAAGGAAGTGTTTCACTATGTTGTTAAATAACAGAGAACGATTACATTAGCTATTCAACACGAAAAAATCAAGTCTCTGTCCTTCAATTCTAACTGTTTGTTTTTGTATGCCAAATCTTTTTTTTTTTAGACTTTGTATACCAGATCTTTAAGAGTAATCTACAAAATCGATGAATCAACAAAAAAAAAGAGAAAAAAATAGAGCATGCATATTATACATCATTTTATGACCTTCACAACTGAAACAAAAAACATTGTACACGTAAATCATGCAAGTACACGAGGATATAATATATTAAATGTTGAAGATAAATATCATGTATAACAAGTGA